AGCATGTCAATCTTTGTCGAATTTATAGTTAAACTCTACAAAGACTGACAATATTTCCACACTTTCATTCAGTTTTCCTATACAAAATTTAGACCGAATATTTTAAAACAGGTTTAATAAAACAGCATTATATTATTCAGTGCATTGCAATTACCTATATAGGTATTTCTGTGCTATCCTGTTATACTGCTCTAAGTAAACAATTTTTGTAATAATTAATTATGGAAACTACTTTGGTAGTGGTATTTTATATTGATTGCCAAGCACCATGTTGTATTATGGAAAGTCATCTTAAAAGGTCCTCTGGAAAGGAAACGATAGCAATGAGAGGGTACCATGAACACATAATGACGTGGTTTCTGTGGACACAGAGTTAAGGAAAGTACTTACCATAAATCTATCTCATGTTAAGTAACTTTGATATTTTATTTATTAATTATAATATTTCAGGATAATTTCATCGCGCCTCATTTTCAACGCTCCATTTAATTATATCTTCTATATAAAATTCTCGTGTCACAATGTTAGTTGTCATACTCTTCCGACACGGCTTGACCGATTCTTATGAAATTTTATATGCATATTAAGTAGGTCTGAGAATCGGCTATTATCTATATTTTTTATACTAACCTATTACCCCTAAGTGATAAGGGTTATCCACCCCATTATATACATATACACACCCCATAACATTTTTTTGTTATTGGAACCTTTTTTATATAGTTTTTAATGTTTATTATAACCCTAAATTTTCACTCTTCTCCCATCAGCAAAATAATGATTGCAATAACAATATTTGGGGGATCAGTTAGTATATAATATATAATTAACAATATCATGATATTTTTTATTTAACCTGCCACCTACCGAATATCACAAAAATAATTTAAAAAGATCTCAAATGTTTGTAATGTTTAAATTATAGATTACCAACTTATAAATTACATACATACTGTACTTACAATACCGATTTGAATTTTCTGTAAGAGTGTATATTGTTGAAATAAATAATAAATTTTAATCCTCTTTCTTCTACAATCTATCGATAGTACTGCATCACTGACTGTATCACTTTCGGTCTGACGAATTTATCTAATGTCTAATCTCTGACATAAAAGAGAACTTTAGCGTTTCACGTGAGTTCACAGAATTTTCTGGCGTTCAATGTATTTTGCATTTCTGTAAGTAATAGCTTCTATTTGTTTAGAGACTTTATCTTTATTTTCTTTTGATAAATAACAACGTAAAATTGTCTCGAAAAGAGATAATATTGCAAGTAATATTGAATAGATGATTTTGGATGAAATTATAGAATATAGATTATAGTAAATGTTCACATGAAGGCTAGGTAAATGAGAAAATGTTATGAATAATGAGGTTTCATAATTTGACAGTCTCGGTGGTTTAGCCGTCTTGCACATCGTTTTACTTCCGATGGTCGCAGGTTCGATTCTTCGCACTGTGCAAACATTTGTATTCTTGAGTATGATAGTTTGTATCGGTTTGGGTGTTTTAAAGGGTGTAAATACATACGTAACGTACATAGACGTTTTGTATGCATATACCAAATAATATATATGTATTTATATCAGTTATATATTACCCATAATATAACTGCTTATTGTGGGACTAGATGGCGCTGTGTTAATTGTCAAGATTTATAGTACCAATGCTATTTTACTTATTAATAAATTAATTATATTAATAAGTAAAATAGATGACGTCATACATAGGTATGTCTTATTTGTTACGCTCATTTATTTATTTACAATAACCGACGATTTAAATATCATATATATATAAACATAGGTAGGTACATATTCATGATGTTACATGCATAGGTAGTAGGCGCATTAATTTTACATGAAAATAATTTCAACTTCTAGCTGCGATAAAAAGTTTTCATGAAGATCGTTGTCAAAACATTGTTATTTTAGAAAAAAGTAGTGTTTACAAGTTTAAAAACTTTACAAGTGTAATGACTACTTTTAGAATGGCTAAGTAGCCATTCTAAATATTGTTAAAGTTCGAGATGATTAATCAATTAATCGGCGCTAAGAGTTTACAAACTCGTACACAAAAAAAAGTAGGTACCTACTTTAAGTCCATCAAATTGATAGGGGTCACTTCCTATCATATCCGTCGCCTGCCTATCTATCGCATCGTCATCTAATGGAGTTGTAAATTTGATTACTACCATCAAGGAAATAGTCACAAAATGAAAATTATTATATTTTAGTGCCGGTCAAATTCGCACTTTCTGACTATTATGTTTGAATCACTAAGTATCGACGATTATTTGTATTTTAAATTCAGTAATTCGGTATTAAATATCTGTTACAATTTTAAACATAACAGTTACGACAAATAAAGATTCAATAAATAAAAAAAACGACTTCCATCAAGAACATTTATTACTCATTTAATACTTAATCTATTTACTGGTATGAAATTCTAAATATAAACATGTGAATTTCTAGGGTTCTAATTTTTTTTATTTACAAACAATGTTATTTTTATACAATATGAATGTAAAGACAGTCAAGACATCCTAAATACTTCCTTTTTAAGAGGACATAGGCGGTAGGAGCCCTTTTTTTTACAAATGGAATAACAAACAAGCTGACGGTCTACTGGATAAGGCATAAACTGCGATGTTATATAGTCTAAAATGTAAGCTAATTTGCGGCAGGAGAGACAGAGGTATGGTCACATTTGTACATATATATAAGATTATATTTTTTATGTATTTTGTCATTATGACATTTACAATTAGTAATATCAAATATTTAAATATGTGCCATGTAACTCAAAAAAATATTAAATGCTGTATTTTATCAGGTTTGGTCACGATTACGACATCAGTAAATAATAATAAAGGTTTTCGAAATGATTTATATAAGAGTTCCAAGCGGTTCTGGAACTCAAGTCGCCTTAAACTACTTTCAATGAGTGTTACTGGAATACATAGATGTTTACAAGTTATGTTAGCAACTCTACCCTAGTAATATCATTTTAAATGTTATATTCATGTCTGTATCAGCTGTTATCTATTACTTGTTGTGTATGTAAGTTGTCAGCTTGTTTCCTATTCTTAGTGGGTAGAATACAAAAATAATTACAACTGGTCGTAAGGAAAATACAGTGATATGTTTATAAAGATGACTGGGTATAGAGCAAGAGTCCATAAACTTAAAATATGTATTTATTAACGGAGATTTATTTAACCATTGTATAAATAGACGGGTTGTATAGAAAATCGGTCTTGTGTGCGACCGGAGTCGATCAATCATCATATTTCCGATTACATTCGCGCGATCCGTCACACAATAAAAAAATGTAAATTTGGTGTGTTTAGGGTCTATTGACGTTGACTTAATACACATTAATATTTAAACAAAATATATTCAGAAAATAACAACATAAGTATCTAAAACAAGTATTTGTAGTTTTCATTTTTTTTGCTCTAGTTAATATGTTAATTAATTTTTACTGAATTAGGAGTTATTTCATTATTCGAAGGTCCAGTTCATTAGCTGTTGTATCGCAATGTCTTTGTTTAATTCCGCTACCATTAATAGATCTGACTATCACTATAAATGCATTAACTGCCTAAGTGTATACGTCTAGTAGATAGTAATAGTTTCACATAAACCTATTAGTGGTACCGGAATTCCACAAAATAATACCAATTGTACAACTACTAAAAGTTTGAATCGAAATAAATATTATTTATCGAATGACAACATTATCCACAGATTTTAATTAAAAATATAGAACGAATTAGAATCTATTAGCACTACGAGTACATCAATTCATTCCCTACAACAGTCATTTACGCAATAACTGAGTTGCACATATTCGCACTCACTCACTGATTCGCATGATCTCTCTGAAGTACAATTGTTATATTAATTCCAACAACTGTTATTGCAACACTGAAATGTTCTTATAATATTAGATATAGAAGAAATAAACATTAATATTCCAAAACTATATAATATGTATATTTCTCTTCATATTTAATATATAATAAGCAATGATGTATTAAACGGAATATTTGTATAACGCAAAAAAATACTTTGCCAAATCGACATTTGGGGGAACAAATTTTATGACAGTACATTGTGAAAACGCCGCTACTCTGATACTTACATAAGGATTGATATCATATACAAAGTAATAATTTAGTACTTTGGAACTCCAGTTGATTGTACATAAATTTAGTTATTTGGCGACTTCATAATTTACTAAAGACCAATAAGGCAACATCTTAGAAAAAGATTATTTAAATAGGAGATTTACAGTTTGTTGATTTATATTGAAGTCGTAGTGTGTAGTTTAACTTTAAAATCTGTAATATATTATATTTTTATTGTTTTCTATTTAAAACAGCTATTAATCCTTAAGCAATTAATGTGGAACTATTAAAATATGTGAAACTATGAGTAATCGGGTTGAGTTGTAAAAATAATTTAAGTATTAAAAAAAATCGTTACTTGAGAAAATGAACTCAAAATGTGTCTATTTTCTCAAGTAGACGTTTTTTCTAGAATTTGTACTTGAACTGCAAATGAAAGAACCAAACTATTAAATAGTATTTAAAATTAGTAAAAAAAAGTCTTAACATACTTTGTTACACCCTAAAGGGATTAAGAAAAATTTATAAAGTTTATAAAATAAGTTAAAATAATATCCTTTTATTTTATATTGCAATCAGACTTATAATTATATGTATAATATATGTATTTGCTCCTTCTTCTCTACATTTCAGGCATATTGATTTTTTATTTCAAAAATTATACTACAAATAGAAATTGTACAAAAACATTATTTTATTAGTAGCTATCTTGTAAAAATAATAATAAGTAAAAAAAAATGATTTTTACAATTTTAACAATACTTGACTAAAATGTGTGTCATAATGTTAACAGTTTCAAAATAACTTATAGTAAGAAAATAACTATCAATTTCAAAATCATAAAATTCTCCAAGTCACGTAGAATAATAATACACATCGCCTGAACGCAATGGGGCTTCAATTCTGTTACACGAGAGGGAATATATGTGCTCATGATCGGAGTACATAATAATAACGCATTATTTTTTATGAAAATTTATGGGACGCTTCGGGGACACACCGTGGAATAAATAAAACTTTGACTATATTTTTAATGTGCTTATCACAGCTTACCGCTCATTTGTCTTGCTATGCAATGATGTCACATTTTCGTTTGCCCTGTATAATTCCATGTAGAAAAGGTACACACATCACAATTATTAAGTCCGAATGGATAATTAGGTGAAATGTGAGCGTACAGAGACGGCGCGAGCTGGTGGTGATGGTGCAGTGGTTATACTAGACGGTGGAACCAACTTGACTTGCCTAAGTGATTCACAGTTGATACACTTAGCGCTGTTTTTGACACCGTTACGAGGTAGCCGACATTTGCAGCCTACAACTGTTCGCCGAGATATCGTTGTATTGCCATTTACACCAAGCATTTCTGTGAAATAAGTTACACAAAATTATTTTAGTGTAAATGATTTATTACTATATATATGTGTATAATATTAGTATAGAATATTGTATAATATATGACTTAATAATTAAATGAAGCGTTTACATATATCCATATCTATTAAATTTTACACAAAAGTAGTAAGTAAATAAATCGTATTAGAGTACAATAATAAAATCATGATATGTAAATTGCAATAAAATTACTAAGGGTAGGGTTTAAGTAAAAAGATCGTTTGCTGTCAAAATTTAATTCATGCTACGATTCGTAGCTTCACTGTCGTAGCACGCACAGATAAATCTTTTAATGCGTAATGACGTTTGAATCAAGTTTAAAATGTCCATCATAAAATGTCCATAAACAACAAGTTATATAAAGAAATAGCCAATTACTGTTCATTATGGGGCCCACATTATTAATCATTTCACCATCTTTCAAATTGCATTGCATTTAATTCACACGCATTCATAATTTAGGTATATTATAATGCAATTACAATTAAAGGAATTAATTTTATGAATTATATGTTTTTGATACTTAACATTTTGAAAAATTATGAAACTATGACATTCATATAAGAAATATCTATCATAGTAATTTATTGAAAATTAATCACTATTAAATATTTGATACCGATAGCCATTAATAAATATTTTCAATTATAATTAATTGAAATAATATTGAAAATTATTGAAATATTTTACCAGATAACGGCACACCTTCACAGGCGCTTGAACGGTGATATGATCGTCCAGAGTCATTAAATTTCAAGCACAACCATCCACCGAGAAGCTGTTGAAAAATATTATTTTATTATATCTGTTCATACAATAGCAGAAAGAATACAATATCTTATTTTATCAATCCTAACATTGCATATCATTGTGAAGAATAACAAACAAATTAACTTTACCTGTATAAGATGCAGAAGTATCTTTGTTATACAAAGAATGCCTTATATGTTATAAATTATGCTGATAAATAAAAAAGTGCAATAGAAATAGAAATAGAAATAGAAATAATCTTTATTCAAATAAACTCATTACAAGCACTTTTGAATAGTCATATTTTGATTCTACCACTCATTCGGAATGCAGATTCATCACAAGAAGAATGAGCAAGAAACTTGTGTGTTGCTCTTTTTAATAGATGTTTTTTTTTTATATAAATAATTACAGTATAACAAGTAAGAGGCATGCGATAATCAACATAGAAGTCGCTACGCACTCATTATTAATGTAATCAGATAATATTGTCAGTGCTATGGATTTAAAGTTTTTCTATAAAACATTATTATCGTTAACGAATTCTTCAATTTTATAGTAAGCTTTTTTGCAAAGGAACTGTTTTATTTGACATTTAAATCTTTTTTCTGGCAGATTTATAACATACTCTGGTATTTTATTGTAAAACCTTACGCAATTGCCATAAAACGAATTACTAACTTTAGCCAAACGACATTTAGGTAAAATCAGTTTGTTATTGTTACGTAAGCTTTTATTAGTGCAATCACTAACTCTTTTGAATCTGTCTATATTCCTTCTGGCATAGATGATATTTTCATAAATGTATTGAGAAGCAACGGTGAGGATATTTGATTCCTTAAAACACTCTCGCAATGACTCCCTGGAACCCATACCATAAATGGAGCGAATGGCCCTCTTTTGTAAAGTAAATATTGTATTTATATCAGCTGCTTTGCCCCATAACAAAATACCATACGACATAATGCTATGGAAATAGCTAAAATAGACAAGTTTAGCCGTTGCCACGTCTGTTAATTGTCTAATTCTTCTTACCGCATAAGCGGCAGAACTAAGTCGACTCGCCAATTTAGTAATATGAGCACCCCATTGCAACTTGGAATCTAATGTGATACCTAGAAATACAGTATCGTCAACAAAATTAATAGATTTATTGTCCAATACGATTTTTGAATCTACCGGCCTTACATTGGGGAGAGTAAATTTGATACATTTAGTTTTATTTGCATTTAGTAGCATATTATTTGCCGTAAACCAGTTTAAAACATAAGAGAGAGAACCGTTTACTTCGTCCATATCATCAATATGTCGATTGACTTTGAATACTAATGAAGTATCATCAGCAAACAGAACTATGTCAGCTATCTTTTCTACCATATAAGGAAGATCGTTTATGTAAACTAAAAATAAGAAAGGACCCAGAATAGAGCCCTGAGGAACACCCATTTTAATACTAGTTCCCTCAGACTTTACACCATTTATTTCAACAACTTGCATTCTATTATTTAGATAGGATTTCATCATGCATAGTGCTTCATATCTAATACCGTAATGTTCTAATTTGAGTAAGAGTGTTTCATGATCAACGCAATCAAATGCTTTTGAGAGGTCACAGAATACACCGATAGCATCCTGAGACCTCTCCCAACAGTCAAAAATGTGTTTCATTAAATCTACACCAGCGTCAGTAGTTGATTTACCGGCTGTGAAACCAAATTGCCGACTGTGAAGCAGTCTATTTATTTTAAAGTGTTGAAGCATCTGATTGAGCATAATTTTTTCAAACACTTTACTTAGTACTGGTAAGATAGAAATGGGCCTATAATTACCTACTTCAGTTTTATCCCCTAACTTAAAAAGTGGAGTTATTTTGCTATGTTTCATTAAATTGGGAAAAACACCGTCAAAAATACATTTATTGAAGATAGTTACTAAATATGGAGCAATAACATCTATAGCGGTGTTAATAACTTTAACAGACATGCCCCAATGGTCTTCAGTATTTTTTAAATTTAATTGTTTAAATGTTTTCGTAATTGTAGCAATGTCAATAAATGTAAATTTAAATGTAACCGGACACGAAGCACAATGCATTTACATATTACATCAATTAAAAAAAATTATGTAACATGTAAATACCCATAATAGAAACACTAAAACAATATTCAATATTAATGTAGAACTATCTCTCTATGAGAGTAAATATATTGGTATAGAAAGTTTAGTACCCAAATGAATCATTATTATGCATTATCCATCTGCGGATATGTCTTTATTTAAGAGCACTTTGACGGACTAGAATACCTGACGAGATCTATAAATACGCCTTTAGCAAAAAGCCTTTTTATGTTACCTCGGAATGACCAGTCTCAATGTGCAATCTATTCACTCGTGTCCTTCCCATATGTTTTTACCTGAGTAAATTATCTGATAATTTAGATATATCTATCTATCTATCTATTGAGAAATGAAAACTCTGTTTGAAATGTCTGTTAGGTTTAGATGTTTAGAGTTGATCATAATAAAATTAAATATATTTAGAATTTAATTTGTAAATAAAATTATGAATTAAAGTCTAAATATATCTCATTTCAATTAAATATTTACGCATTACGTTTTCGTAACAAATTGTAAAATGTCTGTCAGTTGTAACAGAATTTCTATATTGCAAATGATAGCTTGTCATTTACAGAACTTCAAAAACTGATTCTGCGTTCATTGAAATGTAGATATTAATAAACGAATGAATTTAATTTTTAATGATACTTAATAATATGGATTACCTGTTTAAAACCACGTCGGTATCGCGCGTTCATGTAACAGTATATGATGGGGTTGTAGCAAGAATGGGACATTGCTAACCAGTGGCTTGCAAACCATACATACGGCATGCCAGGCCACGCCATCCATTCCTCATCACTCTCGTGAACTGTCCACAGCACCTAATAAAAATATAATGTTTAAATACAGTATGCATACTAATGTATATTTATGTACTAATTTTAAGTTTAATTATTATAACAAATAAGCTGACGGCTTGCCTGTTGCTAAGCGGTAACCATCACCTATGGATATAACGTTAACATGCGGTACCACTAATGCGTTACAATTTTTAGCGAACCAAGATGTCATGACTCTTATCCAGTAATTTGATTTTAAATCATCTTTGATTTCAGATGGTCCTATCTGTTGTTATGTTGACCATACACACATATTAACATATTCGCATGTTAAAGAATTTATTAATCCAACATGACGGCGAGGGAACTTGTCACCATTCGGTTTTATTTGGTTTTTATTAATGCTTTCCAACAGTAACAAATTATTTTATTTAACCATCCGTTAGTTGGTCGGTCGGTTGGTACTACTATAATAACAGTCAGGATTCGTAAGAAAATTTTCTATATATATTCATCATCATCATTCAAACGTACGATGACTTTGTAGTAAAAACAGGATTCAGCTTCCATAATATTTCTTTAATGGTAACTTGAAAAAGTACTTAGAAGTGTAACTAATCACAAAGGTAAACCATAGAACGATTGATAAAAAGATTTCCCGTGTAACTCATTGTGCTATTTGTGTTATTTTTATTAATCTATTTTATTAGGCCCAAAATATAGATTACTTAATCAATCAATCTGAAAATTAATCGAAAATATCTTGGATAATATCTAACTTCTTAAACATTGCTCAGAGGGATTTGCCACAACGCTGTCTAAGTATGAAATACGCCTAAACTTACTTCCTACAAAATAAGTAACTTAATACAGTTTTTGTTTTTAATAGACCGTAGAGAACAGTAATAAATAACTAAATGAAGAAAAACACATGTCTGACCTACAATAGCAAGTTCATTGAACTTATTTCCAATAGATTACTGTTCAAATTTCGTGTAATTTATACAAATTTGTACATTGTATATTACTATAAAATAATAAAGAATAGTCGGTAACTATAAAAATAATAATATCATAGCATAGATAGATATGGTACTGTTGACTTTAAATGACAGCTCAGGAGCTGTATATTTTAAAATGGAAATACAAAGACACAATGCGATAATTTTTGAAACTAGTGTGATTCAAGATTTTAATAACGGACTATTTAATGGCATTCACTGACTTTACATTCTCATTAAATCTTTCAGCGAGCAGGAAACTAACCTGAACTCTGATAGGCTTTGCTAATTTTATAATATAAATTTGTAAAAATTAACTTACTATAAAAACGTTTAATGGTAGCCAACAGATCGTAAATACCGCAACTACTGTCACCATCATTTTAATCATCTGTGAACAATAACAGTATATTAAATTAAACTATATTTAAAATTAGAATTCGAAACGGTATTAAAAAAATTATACATAGGTATATATTAAAAATTTAAATTATGCAATGTCTAAGACAGCGTTACGTTATAAGACAATTTGATTAGTTAAAATTAAACAATAATAGTTTGAATACTTCATTTCATTGAGACACATACAAAACTTAATTATTTGTAGAGATAGATTTATCTGATGTTAAAGAACTGTATATTGTATGAACATGATTATTTAAGATTATATAAACCCAGTAGGTTTCTAAATCCCAAACAGTAAATTTATCTGAGCGAGAAAACAAGCCAAATTGATCAGCTTCTATTTGTCTTGAGTTAGATTCTATTTTTAGCTCTAGACATATAGGGAATCTCATATATGCATATTTAGGGGATGTTATAAACCTTTCGTTTGGAGCTTTGCATACGCGAGTCGCGAGCGGACTGCGCCTCCCCGGGCGGACGCCCGCCCCACACGACGTGCGCTATGCGCGCATATGTGCACACAAGCGCGCCTAGTGGCAGCGCGAACTGTAGTGCTAGCAACGCACACGTGTACTGCTCACTCTGTTCAGCATTGGCCCAATGTTCACCACATATATCTCTAGAATTAGAGACAATATATATTAAAAAAAGACAATGATAGAAATATTAATTTTATTTATTTAATATTAATTTTATCAGCTGACTTCAAAATGAAAGTATTATTTTACAAGAATTAATACATAACTGATCGACTGTTAGTAATAGTGGCAATTAAATTGATTTTTATTTTAATAAAAAAATATATACCACTAAAAAAATATATTCTTTAATGAAAGAAACGTTAATTTTGCCTAAAATCTTAGAATGTATGTCATTCTAAGATTTTAGGCAAAATTAACGTTTCTACGTCTAGGATACGTATCATCAAGAATTGAGATATTTATATGTATATATAATTTTTAATACCAATTAATGAGAGATAGCAAAACACTTCATAATAGTAATCAAGAATACAGAAAAGGGATTAATCGCAACTTACCAAATTTACTAAAACTTTTGTTCAGTATTATAAAGTTGAAGACAGGCTTCTAATATTTTGTTTTTCTGTAGTTTTATCCATTAATATACCTACTCATATATGATTCATTGATGATATTATTAGTAAAAAAAAGAATCACATAACTGGTACATTAATCTATAAAATAAATGATATGTTCAATAGTAAAAATAAAATACAATACTACATGTACTTACAAATCACAAGCCTCGTGCCAGGGCGAAGGTCGCTGTAGTTGAGAAACAATTGGTATAGGAGCAGCCGTGGCCAATGCGCCAACCCATACCACCAGCACTACCATCTTGGCAGCAGCCTTCCCTAACCGTGGCTTTAAAGGACGCATAATTGCCATATAGCGATCAATGGATATAGCAAGTAGAGTGTAAGCACTTACAAACACTGACACGGCTTGAGAATAGTTCACTACCTTACACATCACAGCACCAAATGGCCAATACCTCAACACTAGCATAGATACGAAAGAAAATGGAACGCAAAACAGTGTCATCAGTATATCGCCTACCGCCAAGTTCACTATAAAAAAGTTGGTCACTGTCTTCATTCGAGGTGTTGTATGCACAACGAAACACACTAAACCATTACCAAAAAGAGCCACGATGAATACAGCACTATACATAAAATAAACACATGTTTGAAACAGTGATGATGTGAGAAAGTCCTCAGGTGATGTTTCAAATGCGCAAGCCAACTCTTGAGGCCAAGTGTAGTTGTAATAGTGTGATGCGTTGAATATTTGTGTGTCGTTTTGAATGCATTGCACTGTTGTGCAGGAATGTGGGAATTGGACTTCATTTTCGACCGCAAATTCGCTATTGTGAAGCATCCTTCAACAGCTACAGTCACATGTTTACTCTCTGAGTGTTCTTCTAAGTATTACCTGAAAAAAATAAAGAACTTTTATTATTAGGGTCGATCATAATATTATACTTGTAATATTTTATTCTATTACATTTTATACTTATAATATTACATTTTTATATTAGAACAAGTGTCCTCATCTTATAAAGACGATTCCCAAATTCCACGAGTGCCATCAAATTACTAACAATATAATATTACATTTTTCTTACGCTAATATAAGAAGCCAACGAGACATATTTTGTGCCATAATATGTGTGTATTCTACTTTTTTTAATTATAATGTGCCATGCCCATTTTATTTATTTACATCTAGATTGTATACAGTTCTTATTCCATTACTTTTAGAGACTCTATATAAGTATAGTTCAAGAAGTTCAGAAACAACGATAATCCTACTGATAAATCAGGCTATGCTACTTTAAAATTTGAAACATGAAAATATACTATTACAACAATACAATTTCAGATGAGTATATTTTCTGCGAATATGTTATTCTTAGATACATTTGAATTCCAAAATACGTTAAATAGTTTCTAGTATGTCCCGGACAAACATCATGATAGATTTATATATACATATATATATGTATACCTAATATAGATACACGCAAGTTTAAAAAATAAGGGGTTTACATGCGAGGTCAGTAGTGAGATCTTGTATAAGTTACTTATTAAGTTACTCCCGCAATCTATACATCAATACATGATGTAGTACGCGGGTGAACAGGTGTTCGCATGTCATGATTGATCACCATCAAGTAGGTGTCTGGTGAATATTTACATCATAAATACATAAAAAAAAACCGCCAATTGACTATGTGCACGAAATTTGTAAAAATATATAATTCTGTCACCGGTATACTATACTACCAATGCTATTATATTTAAACACAATTGCTAGAATACAAGTAATTTTTTAAAATCTCCTTAAACCCAACTTCTCTTGGACCTTTTATTGATACTTGTCTACGTTTCCCAGAACCGCTTCTTTACATAATATAAAACAAAGCCGCCGCCGCTGTCTGTTTGCTTTTATCTGTTAAGTTTCACAACGAAGTTTTCAGTAATAGAGTGATAAAAGAGAAATGTTTATATTTATAATACATGCCTGTAGAACAAGCCGAGAAATTCAAATATTTGTAAGGTGCGAAATTGGAATGGGTCGCTAATTAATAAATAAAGGAAGATTTCATTTTAAACTATCACTCGGTTGATATACCTAATAAATTTATGTAACTACCAATTATATGAGTATATATATATTTATACATTTTGCTTCGTATACAATTTTACGCCTGTTTTTAATTTGTATTGATTTCACTATTTAATTTGGTTTATTATAGTTTTTTCAATAACACAAACAAAAATTTTTATAGAAGCCAGGTTTCCGATTTTTCATGAAGTTAATATTTTTCCCTACTGAACAATTCAAACTCTAGTCTACATATTCAATTGAAAAGAATCGGCAAGAAACTCAATATTTCTTTTAAAAACCTTTTTAACCATTCCTGAACTATTTAGGTATTTATGTCTATGTCTAAGTTGGAATGGTACAAAACCACGATATTCTCCTAATGAACAATAAAATTAATATTTTGCTGTTTTATCAATATTATTGTAATGTGAAACAAACTGGAAAACAAATGATGCACGTGTCGAATAACTTGCACCTGCCACAGAGAATGTGGGTCTCAGCAAAATCAATTCAGAACGTAACCAACGCTACTTTTTATAGTAGATATACGAATAAAAAACACTCTCAGGAAATAACACCTGATGTCTCTAGGCTAGAAGGCCTTTAAAATTAATCCAATAAACAATCAATACTTTAGAAATGACTGTGTAATATTATCTCATCTGTGGCCATGGCTGTAAGTTTTTTTATAACTTAGTAAAAATTTGATAGACTTTTTAATATATACATATCTAATTAATAATTAAATTATATAGAAGTACTAGAAAACTCTAGACTATACTCATAAAAATATTTGAAGCTTTGAAGCAAGATTACTCTCAAATCCCAGAAGCTACAATGTCCTATTTTATAAGTCGATCTATATACTTTTAAGGTAATGAAACCCACATTAATAACGGTCAGTAATTTTGGCTGATCACACAGACAATGGAAGACATATTACATTCCTATTAGATTACTTTCAATCGGACATGATCAAAAGTAAATAAATGTTTTTGCGAAGCTTTTACTTGCAGTCGAGTTTAATGAGTAGTAGGATATTAATTCGGTGGTAATTATTGTATATTTTTTGTAGATAACGTTTTGACATGATTCAGAGTTGTTTTAGATGTTTAATTTTAAAAAGATTTCGCTAATATACTTAAACTTAATTGGTAAATATATGTTTTTCAAATAATGATGAGAAATAAACTATCTTTTACGTAATAGTACAATAATCTTAAATTTTCTATTATTTTTCTTTATATATTAAATTATACTATAAGAACCAAATAGGAATATACCACTAGTTATTAGCATTATTTTCACAAATTACTGTATAAATTAACTCGAGTCTAGATATTTCTGCATATTGTTATTCCCTATATTTCGTTATTGGTTTTTTCTTATTACAAAATAAATATAATAATCATTACCTATGTTACTATGGAGATTTATTATAATAATAATCTAATTTACAAAAATGATTATAATAAATCTTATATTTATGACATATCATGTTAGATATTAATTATTTCATTGAGTATCATAGATCTTCTTTATTATGTATACGGCCACGTCAAATTCAGACACAGGTGGGATAAACAAGAAAGACAGATTTTAAATTATATTTGCGCCCACGGGAGTTTTATTAAAAATCCACCTTACACAAATCATTAGGTTTCCTTATAGAAAAATCACTTTAATTTATTCGAATATCTTTAGAGTTTCATATATATAGGTAATATATATGAAACTTCTGATCATAATTGGAACTTGTGGTATAGTATCGAAACTATTATTATGTTTACGTGCTTTTCAAAAAGTCAAATAGATTTTTTGAGAGCTTATATATTTTATTCCCTACTCTGCTCAGGTAGATAGCAGACTGCGTGAATTTTCTTCACACTAGATTTTTCTTTGATGAGGTGATATAGCGTACAATAATCTATAATAATTATCGTACACGGTTATGATATCTGTTTTGTTCATAATTTATTTTGTAATTAAAGCAAAGCATTGCAAATCCTTGATTTACGGCATCGTAATTTTAAAAAGTAGATAATTTTTTTTCCATTTTACTTCTTGTTATTCAATTTTATTAAAATTTAAAAGAACTTCTAACATAATTCCAACTGTAATAAAATGTATATAGATTTAATACAAAAATACCCGTGACAAAAATTAATATAGCTAGGTGCACATAAAATAAAATTGGAAAAATAGTTGGCAGTCAGAAAAAGGTAACGTATACAAAATGCTAAATGACATAACTAACCAAAAATCTCGTTTTTATATCTAATAAAATTGTGTTTGTGCAATAAAGTAGGTAGAAACGCCACCTGTTCCTTCATACATAAAGCTGTCGATATTTACCGATCTTTATGAGTGGGCAAACGTCAAAAACGCCATCATAACATGCCCCTAGCTTTGTAGCCCCTTGCTCTACTAGGTATATGTTACCCAAAGATATTTTTATAATACAAAATAAGTAGGTAGGTTACGAAATATTTCAGTACCTATCTACGAAAATTTACACAGGTCTTTCCACTAGGTATACAATAAAGAAAGAGGCAGTTTTATTATCTGGACCCGGCAGTAAACACATAGAATAAAATAGGTAAATGTCACAACAACTTTTATTTACCACTTTTTTGTAGTAAATAAGTTTGTCTTATGTAATATGTACATAAGTAGCTGGTGTAAAATTACAAAAAATGCAATACTGAAGATAAGGGTGATATTCCTATGTTTGGTTCAAAATATTTTCGCCATGTATGTAGGTAATTGTAGTTGAGAACAGGATTGGTTATATGAAATATAACATTTGAAATAAGCCCTAGGATAATACTGTAAATAAATCTTTTTTATATATAAGTTACAAATGACTACAAATGAATTTAGTTAGTATGACCAAAAACAGTTATTATTGTATTGCCTTTAACACATTATGTGGGGTCGCGGTACATCATCTTCTTCCACTCGTCCCTATCCTAAATAAATTATCAGCATATTATGCTAAATATGTATAATATAATTATCTACTCGATATATTATTAATTAATTAACAATATAATACCTAATATGGAAATGATTAATTCATATCCGTCGACATAAAGTCGATAATGTTCATATTAAAAATAGAACATTATACACTTTCTCTATAAAAGCTTTCTGCATTTTTTTTTATTATTTGCACATTCTTTTGAATTGTTTCAGGTTGTGAAAAATGTCTAAACACAATACAACCCGCACGGTTGTTGAGAAGTTATCCTCAACACTGCGAATGTTCGCAGAATTGTAAAGTTTTATTGTTTGCAATATTACAATGCAAGAAGGTACTCTACTTAATTAGATCACATTTTCAGTAAAATATATTTGGCATGTCACATGGAAATAAAACTTTTATGTAAATTATGTTTACTTGGATAAAAATCTTCTATTATGAATGTTTGTAATTCTTTTATCCATATTTAAAATATCAGTATTCTTTTCATACAATTGTTTTATATACACTTCTGTCTCTGCGCTGTGCTATAATAAACGACTACAAGCATCTCTCTTTATTTTCATTTATTATTACTGTACTGGCCATCGTCTGTAAGAAATAATTTTGTATGTAAGTAATTAGAAGTAGATAACCTCTATTAAAATTATATTTTAGTTACATCGTTGAAGGGTGGATACGGCAACAAAATTATAAACAGTACGGTACGACGGACACCTGATCCTGGTCACCTGATGACCCGCATGTCCGCGTGTTTTCTATATAAGCGGTTAATACACCA